GTTTAAACATACTGAATTTTAGAAATTTTATTGGAAACCCATAAAACAATATATAAGTTTCGGATGATGAAGTATACTTAAATATAGAAGGAATCTAACGATGTATGTAGGCACACGTGGAACGCGATAAAACTTGCATGCTCAGCTCGAGATTGTTTGCATTCTGTGAAGTAATCTGCATAGTACGAGAAACAGCATACTTCTAAATTATGATATAGTGCAGCCAGCAATTTTGCATCATCATTGCAGCCACGACTTCGACAATCATTAAGATATTACTTTAATTACAGTGCGTCTAACTGTTCAATATTTTCACAGAAGAACAAAGCTAATGTAATCGAACGCCCACATGGCACGTCCTCTTCTACACTTCAATTTTCCTGGAAGTGGACACAAGGACATGACCGTAATTACTTCATTAACGCGTTTTCAAAAACACATTCTGCCAATACAAAGAAACTTTAGAAAGTTTAACTCTGAAGAATTGATTAAACGGAATAATTTATATACACAAAGTACAATTATTCGACTTCATAAACCCGGCTTTATGAATTTCGTGTACGACAGTCACATGTACTTTACAGCCTCGTTGCCTCAACGTTTCATCAACGACTTACAAGTGTTTTGACGCTAATTAGCAGTCTCTGTCTATGAAACGACAACAACTACTCGTAATCATAATTTCGCTCGACGCGATTTATCAACCGAGCTATACTGTCTTTAAGAGCGTTTAACGTTCAATTGACTCCGCGATCATCATTAATCCTGTCGCTCCGTAAACCCGTTCCTCTGACTGAACACTTTCGCCGGGACGTAAGTCGCGTGCAGCTCGCGAAACAATTTTTCAGGTTTCACGCGTCACCGAACTTGTGCACGGAACCTCGAAATCCGTGCAATGGTGGCGTTCCAAAAGGAAACGAACGAGGAGAACATTACTGTGTATCTTGGCAAGCGCATCCAAAGAAAGAACCGAAAAGAGCATCGATTCGTGTAATCGTAAATTGAACAGGAATGGCCATTCGATCTTACGAAATTCTTTTCTGATTTAAAATTAAATTTAAATATTATATTCGCATTAAAATCGTCGAGATATTACGTAGCTGCTACAGAATTTTAACGAGATCATAATTATATCTGCTTGGAGAGAATACAATTCGAGATAGCGGTTACCCTCGCTGTTTATGTTACATGATGTCACTTCTCTTTGATATGAGCAATATGGTGTTCGATTAACGTAATAAGCAGCAAGTGTTCATGATTTAATTAAGAATTTCTAGCTTAATTCGATTCTGAAACGGAGTTGGTGCAAGAAAACCTCGGCGTGGCGGGGAAGACGATCGGGGGAACGATTAACTTCGCCAGACGACGGTAATCAAGCCGCGGTTAATTCTGAACTATTTTCAATAGTGACTAAGCTGGCTTCGCGTGCCCGTAGGCACGGCGGCGCGCGAGTACGTACCGTGGCGTAATAAAATTACATAGAACGCGGTTACGATGCTGTATGTACCGTAGGCAGTAGGCGGACTGGTCACTAACAGACGACTGCCCTATTTCGAATTTAACACCTTTCCGTTATTGGTCGACGTAAATTCGTGGCGACTATTCTGTACTCAATTCACAAGGAATACGTAAAAAAATGATCCTCTCCAATCTCTTCTTGCCAAGAGAAAATAGCAAGACTCTGAAAACCCTTTGACTTTTGTAGCACACTTCAATTTGTTGAATAAGATATTTGTTATTCTTAAATTAAACAAAATAAACTGAATAATTGAATTTAAATAATTTATTATTACATATAAAATGAAATACAATTGAAATAAATAATTTGTGGTAATAGAAATTGTAAATGTAATAATACAAAATAAATATAAATAATTTCTTATTTGAACTCAATTGCATTTCATTTTGTATTATTACAATTACAACGTTTACTATTACAATTTATTTATGTCAATTATATTTCATTTAAATGATAAATTATTTAAATTCAATTGTATTAACAGAAGGATTGTGTTTAATTATGTTATAACAGGTATGCGGATATTCAGTGCTTAGCAATAATTACTTATGCTACGAACCCATCAATTGTGTTATCAGAATCTTTTGTGATTTTATCCAAAAGAATTTTTCTATAATTATATGAACACTCCAGGACGAGATGTCCAAATTATATCTGTACACGTAATATCTCGCGCGAAAAACCAATGCGTTGTATCGAAACCGATAAATAATTCTGTACAGCAGGATGGAGTCGTACGACGCTAAATTGAAGGACGATTTGTTGATAAAGTTACTCGAAATCGCATCACGTAGGATTCGATTTCTCGAAATGGTTTGTTCGAACCGTAATGTATTCTACGATATGGTTTGCGCTGTATCGAGTTACTGGTTTCTCGCTGAAGCAAATTGGGAAAATTGTATCAATTACGAGTAACTATGGATAACTCGAACGGTCAAATTCATGTTCAATTGCTTGAATTACTCAGCAGAATTGATCTTTCTACAGCCCATCAATTAAATGAACATGTTATACGTACATGTACATAATGCGATTGTATGTACACATTAATGAAACATAATCACATTTTTATCTACTCATTTCGACGGATTCGATACCGTCCTCTATGTAATTTACAAATACATTAAATTAACGATAATGACAGTATTCAATGAATAGAGTGAAGCTAGCAATAACGATTTCGTTTTAATTCCTGAAACGATTTCCAACGGCAAACCGGCAGAGACGTTCAAAGTCCCACGCCTCGCGGTGGAACGCAGAAAATAACGACGACGCGATGCTCCCGATGATCTAATCGCGCGGGCAATCGACAAGCTTGCGCGAGCCGCCCGCGTTACGCCAGCCAGTGTTCCGCCGACCTTCGTCGGAGCTTTTTCGCCCTCGCGTTCAGTTCTCCGACGCGCGGCGCGGATGCCAAAGCGGCGGAGGAACGGGACGGAGCAAAAGGAGGACGGAATCGCACGCGCCACGAAACGCGATCCAGTTCCCTTTTAGCCGAATGCTGCATTGTATGCACGTGGATCGCGTGGCACGAATGCACCGCCGTGTAATCGATGAATGAATCGATCGCCCGTCGATCTTCCCATTCGCTCGAACGGTAGTAGAATTAAATGCGATTGGAAGTTCACAGCAAAGAGGATTTCACAAATAAAAAATTAATCTAGCACAATTATTATTTTTACGCAAGGAAAATCATCTTTGCTGGGTCTCTATTGATGAAATATTTTTATAATAAAGATTTTACATACCCCACTGACTATCCCGGTCAGGAAGACTGCGGATGCGACGAGCCTGTAATAAATGTTTCACCAAATTATTAAATAAAATTAAGAATTAGTAGACTTCAGGCAAAATGCCTGTCATTAAATCTTATCAATTTTGAAATGGAAATACGTATAGTAAATGACCCAATTTCTGTTTACGTAAGCACTTTTTCTTACTGCCTTTTAACATAATCATGAGCCAGTGAGTAGAAATTGGGACATTTATTAAAATTGGATATTTTAAAATCAGTCTTCTTGAAGTAAATATATTTAGTTTGACATATTTTCTTTCAAGCTGACAAGTTCATACAAGAAAACAAAGAATTATAAAGTATTGAAATCGAGGCGGAATGATTGAGGAGATACCAAAACGTACAGGAATTCAATCATACTCCACGCCACGAAATTGTATTCACCATTTATCGAACGTGTTAATTTTCGCACGAAACACTGAAACAACTGTTCACATTGGCATGCGTGAAAGTAACGCGAGACGATTCATAGTCAGAAGGATGACAGACAGGATATAAACGCGCACAGGTTTCGTCCTTGAAACGCACTTCTTAACGGAGGGGGCGAAAGTGCACCCTCAGTCATTGAATACTTGTGGCGCGTGCACCAGAGAAGAACACGCGCTGAGAGGTCCCCCTCGAAAAAAGTAAAAGACCTGCTGAGAGTGGAACGGGAACGGACACGAGGGAACCAGACGCTGTCTGAAAAAACGGAGAACCCGACCGAAACAAGAGGATCAGAAGCGTGTCGTTCGGCGCACAGCGGTAGCCCGTCAGATTCGGTCGCGGAAGGATACGTGGACGATGCTTCCGCGCCGCGTTGGTAGGGAACACAACACGGGACATGTTCACCGGGAACGCACGTGTTCGCGCAATATAGAGATCGTTGACGTAACAACAGGTTGACGAACCAGGGGCTACATTACCGAGAAGGGAAACCAAGAAGAATAAGAACGAACGAAAGCGAATAAAGAGGAATAGGATGAAGAAGAAGAAGAGGTAGAAGCGAGATATTAAAAGGGCAGAGAAAAGTAAGATGAATCGGAACTCACCGCAATCCCAACCGGGTCATTTCGACCTCCCTATTCCGCGATGGGTCTAGGGAGCCGAGAAGCACAGGCTAACACGAGCACCACCGCACGGACAGGCAGTCACAAAATATCGCGGGGAACCCGGCACCGAGTAGACGTGGTGTGCGGACCGTCCCATCCAGGGAGGGCTCTGAATGAACTCGGGTGGAGGGAAGGAAGGTGGAGGCGTCCACCGAGCCACGCCAGCTAGAATTCCTCCGCCGAAGGGATCGGTAGAGAGAGGCTTCTCTCCTTGGTACCGTGAGAGCTCGTGTGTGCTCTCGCGCTGTGTCCGCGGTCTCCGTGTGCCTCCCCCGTTGTCTCTCTTCCTCTTTCTCTCTCTCTTTCTTCCCGTTGAACCTCGCACACTCGAAGAGAATCGAACTCTCCAGTCTGCCTTCGCCAACTGCGGGACCAGAAGATACCAACCGGCAGGGCGCAAGAAGGAAGGAAGGACAGAGGGAGAATCCGAAAGAACGAGGAAGGGAGTAAGGGAAGAAGACTTCGCTGGAGAGGGAAGTAGCAAAGCAGGGAAGAAGAGGAAGCGAACCAGAAGAGGAAGAAGTAGGAGGGAAGCTCCAGGAGGAAGGAGGTGGCGGAGGAGCAGAGAAGGAGGAGGAGAAGAGGATTGCTGACCGGGTCGAGGCGAGCTCGGTCGCGCGTCGCACCGAGGACTGTTCTACGGTCTCAGCCGATGTCGATCTCGGCTGTGCAAGTCTCCGGCTACGATCTGAAGCGTGGACCCGAGAGGCGAGAGTAACCGGGGCGAAACGAGAGGGGAGGATCTGCTACCCGCCACGTTCGTTCTGATGCGCTCCGACGCGCAAGGATACAGCTTCGGAAGAAGAGGAGAAGAGAGAAGAGCGCGCCTCCTCTACCGCCGACTCTAGGCCTGTCTGGCTGTGCGACCGATCGGGAGGACGGGCCAACCGGGCCGTCTGTCTGGCCCTTCGACACGCGCTGCGTCGACAGGCTGGCCGACCAGCCGCCGCATCGTTTTCCAACCACGTCTCCTAGCTACACACTACAGAGAGCTCGGGACGCCGAGCAAAAGTGTGTACCGTTCAAACGGACTGGAATAGCCCGATCGGCGTGTCGGGTGTATTTTAAGGGCTGTTACACCGCGGCGACGAGGACAGGTAAACCGGGAAAACGTGGAACGAACGAACGAAGGAGGAGGAGGAGGAGGAGAAGCTCGGGGCACAATGCGGCGTAGGGCCGCGGGAACGTCAACCAGCGCAGCCCGCGGGTTACCTACGCTCCCGGTCATCCTGCGAATCAGCTGCGTCCTTGCCCTACTGGTCGTCACGTGGATACCGGTCACCCAGGCTGTGGTGAGTCCTTGAAATATCCCGGTTCTATATATTACCGTACGCTCGTAGGTGAAGGGCTCCCTGGCTCTCACGGTTGTTCTGTCGGAATCGCGAATTTCAGAGGAATCCGCGAATCGCGTAACGAAACACAGTTCCGTTCTCGCGTCGCTCCGATTCACCGTGAACGTTTAACGTGCACGGCCGTACTAGCTCGGAAAGAGAAAGATGAAACGAATTAATGTCGATTTCGCTAAAGTGTCATTTATCTAGTGGTGTTACGAGACACGTGCGTTCTCATTCGTTCCTTCCGACAAATGTTTCGTTTTAATCGCTCGCTGTCCGACAGAACTGCCATTCAGGAATGAATGAACTGAAAATGAATGTAACTGTAACGCAATGTCGATTCATTGACCTACCGGTTTATTTAGCCGCGCGATTACGTAAGAAGGTGGCTGGTGGAGAGAGAGAGAGACAGAGAGAGAAGTATCCAAGAAAATGATCGCATGCTTTTACTGCTCACTCAGATCTGAACCAAATGGTAAACGTCTCTGTTACATCGACATAATCGCATAATTTTCAAATGAGTTTTTTCGCGCCGAGACCTAGAATCTAAAAAGTCGATGATAGTACGTGGGTTTATGGTTTTATGAACGTAGGTGAGGACAATTTACCCGCTAGACAAAGTAATTTTGTTAGCCGACATTTGAAGCCAGACTTGCGTCGGCTGAATCGCTTTTTGGAACGTGAACACCGCGTCGCGGCGGGGATTCGCGTGGCACATGCGCGTGGGAACATCGCATGCGCCGCGCGCCGATCTACGATCGATCCCTCGATCGCGTGGCGAACGACTTTGCTCCAGAAATTGGACACGCCTCATTTATTGCTTGGACAATATCACTTTGAACGAAATGATAAATTTTATTGAGTTGTTCGTATTTGGGGATTTTATTTAAGATAGAAAATAAAAAATAAGAATTGTTTCACTTTTAGGTAACTATTAAATATTGACATAATCTTAATGAGTGATGACTTGAAATATAATTTTTTTAGAATATATATGCATGTCATTTGTTTTTAATCATTCTGATATACTCGGTCTTTCTTAATCCATCTCATAAAAATCGGAACGAACTTTCAGGACAACCTAATCAATTCCATTAAGTCACAAATACAATCAGAATAATTTTAATTCCATCGACTGTTTAAATTTTATTAAGGACTTATAAACTGTCTTAGTTAATCTAACTTTTATTTTTGGTGTGTTTGCATATTTCTATTATTATTCATTCTGAGATGAGAATATAACATAAAAGAGATGATTGAGGATGTATTAATGAAATAGCTTCTTAGGAAAATGCGTACATCGTTTGGATTTCATTGCTACGTGCTAATATTTTTTACGTAAGCGTGACATTTTGTGCAAACAGAAAACTAGAAAAGGTCTGAGTTACAGTGACTGACATGCGATATAAATGTTGACCATGCAGTTAATTCCTAAATACGCTAAAAATATAGGTCGTATTATCTCAGCGTGTGCGGTTTCGTTTCAATGTTTGCAGAGATGTTACTTTATTAACGCTTCCGTGAAATCGTTCTCGTAATCCGACAGCGTCATTCAGATTTCTTTGATCCAAGGAAACTGAGTTTCCTTTGTCAATCAGACTTAACTGTCCCCATTACTCTTCATAAAACGCTCTAAGAGTCTAGCATTTTTTTTAAACATTTCAGCATTCTCATTTATGGATTACAGAAAATAAACTCGAATATATTAATTCTCGGATTTCATTTAAAAAAAAAAACTGAGCCATATTTACATTATATGTGTGTCTCGGTTACACACGAGACTATGAGTGGTATACATAACTGTAGTTCACGTGTAGCTCGTGTATGATGTCACAAACCGTTAAAAGCGTTTATCTCGAAAGTGGAGGTTACACATGAATAATGCATGTTAAGATATTTTTACAATTGCACACAGATTTACGCAATAACGTAGCCCTATTACGTAATCAATTCGCGTTTCGCTCGTAATAAATAATCGTTGATTGGTTCTTCTCATTTTACCAGTGACGAGATCTTAAGAAACTTTTCCAATCGACCAATGAAAGCAGGAACTATTGGGTTGGCGAGAAACTGATTTCAAATGTTTCCAAATATTTTCGTACACTACAAAATAAGTGTTACGAATTTTTCTAAAAATGCAATAACAGAAAGCAGGAGAATTTCACAGATATAACTGCAACTCTCATATATTTAGCTACCACGTCACAGCCTTGTATGTACAGGCCTTTACAGTCCGTGTAACATGTGTGCAAAAGTAGTTATTAAAAGCACAAGTACCAGTGACGTCAACGTCGTGTGCCGGCGGTCGAGCGTTAAAAATAATTGAATTTGGAGACACAAAGCCATTACCTCGAAGGCGTATCGAATAATCGAAAACGATTCTTCAAACATTATTGTTCGGAAACTGCGTTAATAAATCCAGCGACGATTTATTTCCCCCTTCATGTATTTGTATTTAAAGATTTATCAGTACGGCACTCGATTCGTGCAGCTGCACTTACGCCACTCTCAAGTTCCTTAATTATCTCATATTTAGTTTCTATAATTAGCGCTGCGTGTTTCCGTACTGATCACGCTATGACGTTGCATGGGGGAGATCCATTGTTTGATTCATTCTAATAAATTGCTCATGCGCAAACGTTCCGCATTTTATTACAATTCAATCATATAACAAATATAATTCAATAAAACAGGAAAAGGTTTACAAATATACATAAGAAATATATAAACTAAAAATTATTTCAAGAAGACGAATATTAATTAAGGTATCATTTTTAAAGAATTTGAAAATTGAACATCAACTCTTTTATTTCTCACACTTATGTACTTTCTACATAAAACAACGTCACTCTGTCAAATGAATAGGTAAAGGCTAATGACACTGGGTAAGTGTTTCTTCGGATATCAGTTGCATCATTCAGCCGTCTCGTTGAATTCACCCGGTAAACAAGCGCGAAAGGTAGGCGATTTCGACGCCCGAGCGAAGGAGTGCACATCCTTCGCCCAGGCATAAAGGAACTGTCGGCTCGTTTGGGTGATGGTAGTAACAGGGATAAAGAATTAAATACATAAACGCTCAGAAGAAGGTTCAGGGCACCTTTTTTGCCACCTTACGGACCGCCGACGGTGGCGGTTATTGAAAATCGTGAGAAATTGCAGGAAGGGGAGTCACGTTTCCGCCCTGCTACATCGTTACTGATCGACGTGACAATGAAAATGTATAAATCTGTCCTCTGATCATTGTCCCCTCCGCTTTCGTCAAGAAATGCTACACTAGAAGAATTTAGGCATGAATAAGCTTGTGGAATGCCTTTCTTACTGCTTCGCTATTGTTACATTCGAACATGTGTTTTGACACTATAATAATTTCAACAGGAATGACAAATTTTTTGAAGATCGATCGTAAATTAAATCAATAAGTTTATTATTTTTGTAATTAGATGCATTAATCATTTTATTAAGCAGTTGTATAATAATATATAGATTGTCATTAAATATATTGTATTTTACAATTACAAAAGAAATTAAACAAGTTATTAAATATAAATATCGCTATGAGGATTATCTGATGTCTAAAAGCACGTGCGTTGAGATTATAAGGTATTATAGTAACGTATAGTGGAACTGTCAAGGTAGACATAATGAAAGACTGTGTTACCTTGGGTAAACGAGAAAGCTTGCATCCGAGACACGCGATACAGCTCCCGTTAAACATTCGTTTACGTGGGTCGTTATTACTAAATTATGCATGAGCTAAAGATACTTCGTTGGCTACTTCATAACAATTAATAATTTCCTTTTAAAAGATAGAAGCGTATTAAAATTAATTATGCATTTACGTGAATGGAATACAATATTTCTATTTATTTAATTTTATTATTATATAAAAAG